GCTCTTCTCACGGCATTTCCACCTCTGTGGCACAGCCTCCCTGCTCTAGTGAACTGTGAGCTCCAAGGACCGTCCCTGGCTCACCCACACTTGACCAACGTCCGCGGATGAAGGGATCCCTGGGGTGGTCACAGCCCACCCACGTAGTTATAACAGCTCAGTGGGTACCACAGGATGACTGCACTGTTAGTGCTGGGCCGTGCCGCGCCCTGGATGGGGTCTACGCCTTATTCAATGTATTCTGGGCCCCAGAATGCAGGCTGTCTAGCACATGGTGTTTCCAACCAATTTCTGATGATTAAAGAAATGGAGAAAATGAGGCCCAGAGAGGTGAAGTACCCTGGCCCACACACAGGCCTAGAACCCCAGCCTGGGGAAAGGCAAGCTCGGAAGTTGATGTCCAGATGAAGTTCCAGCATGGGTGGGGAGAGCGCGGTTCTCGTGCCAACACTGGCCGGCTGTGGGGACTCCTGGAGCCCCTCGCCCCGCAAATACCCACAGGAGACGTGACCTGGCGAGGGTGTGCGGACAGGCGCCCTTGGTCCTTCAGCACGGACAGGAGCCTGCACCCCCGCTTTCCTGTCTGTCAGTTCCACTCTCAGTGCTGGGCACTGGCATTAGGGGACTGCGTATCCTCCCCCCTGTCTGCTGTCCCCAGGAGTCACTGCCTAGGGTTTCTTTCTTACAACATGACAAGTCACCAGCAGGGCCTGGGAAAGTCACCTGCAAGAGCCCAGCCCCTGGTGGATGTCGGGCTGCCTCCTGCCAGGTCTTCGGCATCAAAGTCCCTTCCTTGGCTGCCCCTCCACCCCTGCATCCCCGACCCTCCAACACTCCTGGTGAGACTCCTGAGACAGAAACACACGAGAAGCAGCACAGAGGAAATGGGGCATAGAGAGAATTCTGACTTTTCTCCCTTTCCTCCACCTTTTGAAGAGACGAGTCCTGTTACCTTTCCTCTATCCTGTCAGGAGAAGACCCATCCCTGAGGCCCCAGACTGGAGACAGGTGGAGCTGCCTCTCAGTGACCTCCTCTTTCCTGGCCTACTGACATTCACTGGAGCGCAAGTGCCAGGATTCCGGCCTCGCTGTGACCACTGGAAAGGGTGAGCTTGGAGGAGTGTGCGGCTCAGAGACCCCGGACTCTTCTAATACAGCTCCCTTTGCTCCTCGGTTGACAGGGTCTCCGGTGTGGTTAGGGAAACTGCCCGGTAACCCGGAAGCTGAATGGGGTGTTTCAGAGACAAGGAACCTGGGTCTCCTCCCTCTCCTCATCCCTGCCCTGTAGGGTCCACCTGTCAAGTCTCTTTTGCCATCTCCTGACCTAGGCCACACTGTGGCGGTAATAAAACAAAGCCTGCTTCCCCTCCCCAAGAACTGAACGTAAGGGCCCAGCTGCCTGCCTAACCAGGGAGAAGCACGGCAAGGCCTGAGGTGCTCTGACTCACCAGCACATCTCTACTGAAGTGCAGAGGTGACGCCCTGGGACGGTCCTGGCCACCTGCTAACTTCTGCCTCGGCATCTTTGCTCCACCCCCAAACCAGAGGAACTGGACTTCAGGAGGCTGGTTCTGGCCCTTCCCCCACGCATCTCAAATCCGGAGCTGCCAAACAAAACTTCACACTTCTGAAAAAGCTGCTCTGCCGGAATCGTCCATGTGCACGCCAGTCGTCTGCCAGGAACGAAGACTCTACCCAGACACGCTTAAGCAACATTTCCACAAAAACTTTGTCTTAACTAAAAGTTTCTATCTATAGGAAGTTCTAGAAGTATACTGCATGAGCTGAGCCCCCAATCTAGAGAGCATTGTATACCCTTTGTAATCTATGACCCTGGGTGCCAGGGGTGGGGTTTGATGTCCGCCAGGCTGTCAATTAGCTCAGGCCCCGCTGCGCATCTGTACTGCGCATACTCAGCACAGGTCCACTCGATGCAGTGAGCATTTGCTGAATTTGAATAACTCCTGTAAAACCTCACGTGGAGCCCTCAGCTTGACACCTCTCCTCACTGCTCCTTCTCCCAGAAGCTCCTGGTATAACCCCGGTCCGACGCAGACAGCACGTACAGCTGCTGCTGAAGTCAGAGAGGGTGCGGCACAAACGCCAAAAGGGGGCTGGGTTTAGAATCCCCTTCCCATGTTGCTACCGGGATTAATGAGGTGCAGAGGGGGACAGTGGACAGAGGAAGCGGGTTTCAGAGCCTAAAAACTCACCCACTCCTAAGAGAACTTTCCTTTGCAAAGAGAATGCACAAAAACAGAAGGAGAAGAGGAGAGAAGCCCCTATGGCCGCCAGCCTCCAACCGCCGCTCTCACCGCAGTCCACCTGGGAAGGGGCTACAAAGCAGACAATCTTTATTCACACGTGGGCGGCGAGGGGACACACCCTCGGGTCAGTCCAAAAGCAAAGATACTGGGTGGGGAAGATGGCGCCCGGCAGGCTCAGCACTCGTCCTCGCCCAGCAGGGCGTAAGGGTTTCGGGCGGCCAGGCTGGACCCTGGTGCCGAGGTTGGGGTGTCCTCATCCCCTTCTCCCTCCTCATCGGCATCCCGGTCCTCCTCTCCCTCCTCCTCACAGGAGCTGCTCAGCTCTTCCTCTTCCTCCTCCTCCTCGTCACCTGCAGGCCCCACCCTGCCCTGCAAAACCACCAGCTCCGCAGTCTCTGGATGGGACTCCCAAGTGCCTGGGGAACCAAAACAAGACAGAAAACCAAGGAGGGTGTTGAGCAAGGAGCCAAAGCAAAACCCAGGAACAGCAGTCATTTTTAGAGCAGCTACCATTCATTCGTGTGTTTGACCCTCCACGTGCAGAGCACTGAATAGGATCTTTACACACACTGATTTCAGTCTTCACAGGCACCTGCTGGGGGAATCATTACCTTCGTTTTGCAAATCAGAAAACCATCTCAGAGACAGTAAGTGAGACAGGGCTGGCCCACAGCGCAGTCCAGGTATGGCCTTTACTCTGGCCACGAAGCCCATACTCTCCCGTTTTGCTCTCTGGCTTTCGTTCTGCCCGTATCTTTGTCTACTCTGCTGCAGGGGTGGAGGAATGTCCGGGCTCTGACCTTTCTGCTCACTGTAGCCCGGGGGATGGAAGCACAGGCTGAGGCGGCCGTCCACGGCCAGGCGCAGCAGGCTGTTGGCCGCTCTGTACACGTCGTTCCGCGCTGCCTTGGCTGTCTTGTAGCCACGTTTCTCCGCCCAGGCTAGAGAGAGAAGAAGAGAGTGGGAAGGGGAGCCTGTTAACCAGGACAGTCACCCCACCCCACCGTATAACACCATCCTTCCCGTTTTCCCCAAAACGCTCCAGCACAAAGATCTTGCTAGCCCTGCAATAAGAAGCTAGGGGTGAATGCATGTTTATCCCTCTACGTAGAAACTGAAAAGAAGTCCTCCCAGGGCCAGCGGGTGGCATGGCGGTTAAGGCACTGAGTTCTGACATAACCAATAGCAGTTCAAGTCCTGGACCTGGGGGCTTGAAAATCACGCCATGTATGTGTGTGTGCATGCCCAATATCCCAAAGGAGAACGGAGTAGGATATGCAGTGTGGCCGCCCCCAGGGGGATGACTTCTCACTCCCCCCTTCCTCCTCTGGTGAACACACATGACAAAAACCTAAAAAACAGAGAAGTCCTTCCTGGGTAGAGAGATGAAGCATGACTACTAGAGGCCAGGGAAGACGTGGGGTTACAGACAGGCAGGGGGAGCAATGGCCGGTCGCTGTGGCTGACACTAGCTTACTGACATATCAGGGAGCCTGGGGAGGCCTGGGTGCCTCCAACTCAAAGCAACAAGTTTTGAGATGACGGGGATGCTGGTTGCCCTGGTCTGGTCACTGCACACGGTGTTCATGTACTGAGGAATCACACTGCACCCCCACCGACGTGAGCGATTATGTTAATAACCGTTTAAAAAGACCTAGGGGTGAGTAGACAGGTGCTTCATCAACAGCAGATCTCTGAGAGCAAAGAGCACAGAGCAGGTCAAGGGCGAGGCCAGAAGGCTGGCGGGTAGGAGAGGGCAGCTGACCGTAGGTGGAGACAAGCCAGGTGTGTGTGTGCATGCCCAATATCCCAAAAGGAAAATGGAGTAGGATATGCAGTGTGGTCGCCCCCAGGGGGATGACTTCTCACTCTCCCCTTCCTCCTCTGGTGAACACCTATGACAAAAACCTAAAAAACAGAGAAGTCCTTCCTAGGTAGAGAGATGAAGCATGACTACTAGAGGCCAGGGAAGATGTGGGGTTACAGACAGGCAGGGGGAGCAATGGTCGGTTGCTGTGGCTGACGCTAGCTTACTGACGTATCAGGGAGCCTGGGGAGGCCTGGGTGCCTCCAACTCAAAGCAACAAGTTTTGAGATGACAGGGATGCTGGGTGCCCTGGTCTGGTCACTGCACACAGTGTTCATGTACTGAGGAATCACAGTGCACCCCCACCGACGTAAGCGATTATGTTAATAACCGTTAAAAAAGACCTAGGGGTGAGTAGACAGGTGCTTCATCAACAGCAGATCTCTGAGAGCAAAGAGCACAGAGCAGGTCAAGGGCGAGGCCAGAAGGCTGGCGGGTGGGACAACAGGGCAGCTGACCTCTCCCACCCGGCGGGACTCACCTTCGCAGATGTCCCAGGCACACCAGGGGTGTTCTGCCGAGGGGTCCTCGGCCTCTGGGTGGCGCAGGTGGAGCAGGGCCTGCACAGGGACTCGGGAGGCCAGGTAGCCCACGGCAGTGTAGGGTTCCTGGATCTGGGCGATGGGGTAGATCCCCGCCAGAACCTGAGGGAGATGAACACTCAGCACCTTGTCCAGGTCCTCCCTCCCTCGCTCCCCTGCACAGCCGGCCCTCGTACCTGCAGCTGCCTGGGCAGCAGAGAGGGGAAGATGAGGCCCGGGCAGTCACACAGCTTCACGGAGGGGGTGAGAAAGTAGGTCTGGAAGTATCTGGTGTGGCCCGGGGTCCTGGAGACGCTCACGACCTTCCGCCCCACCAGGCCGTTGATCAGGGAGGACTTGCCCACGTTGGGAAACCCTGAGGAAGGCAAGGAAAAGGGGCAGTGTTCCCTGTGGGCGAGACCCAGTACCGCAGCTACAAACGAAAGGGGGAAGAACTGGGAAGGGGGGGTGTACTACCCCGGAGCTGCTGCCTCCTCATCACACAGCGCAGCGTCTCCTACCTCAGACGGGGCCAGGGATTACTCAGATTAAATGAGGAAGCGAGTAAGAGTCGATGCAGGGACCAGCAGGTGGCGTGGTGGTTGGGGCGCTGGACACTCCCACATGGCTGACCACGGTTCAAGTCCTGGACCTGGTGGCTTGCTTTCCCACTTTCTTTCTCTCTCTCTCCAATCTCTATCCCCCCACCCCAGGCAAATTAAAATAAATGAATGAATAAATAAAATTAAATAACTAATTTTTTAAAGAGTCAATGTGAATTAAATGATAAGAGTCCAACTGCATGGGTCCGTGCCGGAGTCCGTGCCCGATGCCAGTGGTGAGTCCCGCCATAGCCGTCACGACGTGTTCCAGGAGACCGGAAGCCCTGGGGCTCCCGGCCGCCGTTCGC